CGCCCCACTGCCCCCTCGTCGCCGAGCCTGCACCCCCCTCCTCTTCCCCATCCGTCGTGGAGGGGCGGCTGTCAGTCCGCCCGTCTTGCCTGCTGTCCGTCTGTCTTCGACAACAGCCGCACGACGCACGCACTAGAGTCCTACCACGCACGACAGAGCGGGCAGCCTCCTCCAGCAGCCGCACTGCTCACCCCTTCCTCTTACCCCCTCCCCACGCTAAGTAATGTTTGAGCATTGTTTTGAGTTTTGGCGCATCTTTCTGGACATTCAGTCGTTCTTTTAAGGGGGCATAAACCTAAACGGATGCAAACAGGAGTTTGTAGTTCCCGGGCAACCATGCCCAGGAAATAGAAAGGAGCGCCACCTGGCGGTGCTCCTCGACTTGTGAAATGTCGTCTGCTTGTGACGTCACATCTATGAGAAACGCTGTTGTGCTCAACTTTTTAAAAACAATTATATTCAACTGAGGGTTCTAGGCATGCAGGGACAAGCAGCTCTGAAACGAACATATTTTTTTCGCATCATGTCAAAGATGTTTTACTTATTTAACTAGTGTCGAACAACAGTTTCTACATCTCTTTCCGGCTGCCGGACAAGCCGCGCGGGGACAAAAGGCTGAGGGCTGCGGGCTGAGGCAACCATAGGCATCTCCGAACGCAGCCAAGGGCGCTATCAGTAAACATTTTGCCAAGTCTCTTTTCTGTATATTGGTGTGCTAATGCAGAGAAAAGTCTTCCCTGAAGTACTTTCACCCCGGCCATGACAAATGTGAAACGTCTTCTTATGGGTGCTCATGATCTTTTGAATTTGAAATAATAGCACCCCAGCACCTTGGTATGTAACCTCACTGTTCATTCATGTTTACATTTGAAGTCGGATCATCTTTCAATGAAAAAAATTGTCAGGAGTCCAACCTCTCTCACTATTTGCTATTTTTCCAAACTTAATCTGGCAGAAACCGACTGAAAATGAAATCACGAAAGAATAAGGACTTACGAACTATAAAGGAAGGAGTTGTTGGCAAGTATGTCAAGAAAGAAACACCACCTGAAATGCCAAGTAAGACATCAAATATAGCCATCCTTTCTTTAAAACTTCACTCATTATTACCTTCACTTAATCACAAACGTTTTATGTATTGTCCCGATTAGTCATTAACGTTTGGACTACAGATCCAGTGAAGAAAATTTCAAGTCGTAAAAGCTCTCAGTCCAATTCATCTGTTGTGTCTGTAAGTGGTTTTGACATCTAAGAAAACTACCGCTATTCTCTTCTTTTAGGGAGGGCTGACGCATAATTGTTGTACCATTTTCAGGTTGGTTCGCAACCTACTAGAATAGTTCAGAAGTTTGGCAGCCGTATGACCCCAAGCCCTAGCGCATCGCTTGGGCATGAAGGGAAGTATACACCTAGCAGTTCTGTTCCAGACCTTGCACATAGGTTTGTACCCAATTTCAAACATATCTTTAATAAAATTGATTTCTTTTGCCACTGTATTTCAGGTATGTATGGAAAATAACTTTTTGTTTTTTAAAATAGATTTGCCAGTTTGTCAATGGGGAGTGGTTCTGAATATGGATCAAGTAATCCAGTCTCAAGCTATAGTTTGGTGCCTAGCAGTAGTCACGTTACTAGTGAGCTTCCTCCGGTATGAGGTTTCATTTTAGGCTAACAAAATCTTGACATACAGCTTTTAAAATTAAATTAAATTCATTGCTCGGGATTTTCTTTAGCTTAATGTGATGTATATGCATACACACTGTGCTGACTATCAGGATGCATATGGACTTCATCAACCTGACCAAGGGTATGGTGAGACTGCTCATCATCAACACCTTGATGATTATAGACTATCATCATACCAGGTAATTTCATGCTTGGTAGTCCTAAAATTTGATTATTTTTTTCCCTTGTAGTAGCTTATTATTAAAAAGTTTACCGCCTTAAAGTAATTAAGATTTTTGTACAATTCTTTGCAGAACATTGCTTATGGTCATCAATTGCTGCATACACCACAGCAATCGACTCATGCTCTGCACATGTCCATTCCACATGCCTTGCATGGTCTAACCCATGAAGCTCTTCAGGGGTCTCAACACAGTCTACATCAAGCACCATCTGATGCTGCCAGTATGTTCTATATATGTCCTAGTTGTTGTAATGCTGAAAAGAAATCTAAAATTGTTACAACTAATGTCTTGGAATGTTTAGATGGTGCTGATGGAGTAGCAGAGGAACTCCCTTTACCTCCTGGCTGGTCAGTAGATTTCACTCTTCGTGGCCGTAAATATTACATTGACCACAATACAAAAACTACCCATTGGAGCCACCCCTTAGAAAAGGAAGGTCTTCCAACTGGATGGGAACGTATTGATTCACCTGAATACGGTATCTATTACGTCAAGTAAGTACTTAAAATAGGTTGTGAAGGGATATTTTCATTCATTAATTTACAGTTTTAAATTTTAAAAATAATTTTATTTAGCCATATCACACAACATGCTCAGTATGACCATCCATGTGCTCCACACTACAATTACCAGCCTGAGTTTCGGTCATCCCTGGATGTACCTCTTCCTTTGCCTCCACACATTCATTTTCATCCTCCCAGTGTACTTGTGCCAGCAAACCCGTATTTAAATGAAGGTATGAGCTTTTCATCACGTCTTCATTTTTTTCATTTGTTTTTGCTTTGTTGTAAAGCAAGGCTGACTTTAACATTTTCAAATGTCAGTGTTTTAATATCATGTTCTTTTTGAATAAATTGTTACTGTCTCTGTTTTTCAGAAATTCCAAACTGGTTAGGAGTTTATTCAAGAGCATCACAGGACTTAGATCACAAACTAAAATGGGAAATGTTCAGGTTGCCAGAACTTGACTGTTTTAATGTTATGCTCACACGATTGTACAAACAGGAACTGGAAGAAATTGTTATGCGTTATGAAGCCTATAGGTCAGAAAGCAATGTTAAGAAATGGCATTACAGCAGTGACTATTTATAGCTGCAAGTTATAAAAGATACTTCTGATTGTTCTGAGATTATTTTTTTTTCATTCTATTTTCAGATCGGCCCTTGCATATGAAGCAGAAAGGAGGGTAACTGCACAACACAAGATACTAGCACTGCCTGCACCAAATGAGGGGCCCAGAGAAACTCCAGTTATTTCTCAGAATGTTGAGACAAAAGTATGATCATGCGCTGCTTGCTGCTGTTCTTTTGTTGGATGTTTCTGAGTAGGGCTGATTTCCACAATTTCATTTTCTATTGTGCCTTGTAGAATATTTCTCCTATTGGCTGTGTCCTAGATCAATAAGCTACTTTGAAAGTATTTTCAATTTTGGTTAGATTGAGTACCCACTCATTGTTTTTTAAATCTATTGTACATATCACAGTAGACACAAGTTATTCTGATTTTTCTCTTGCACTGAGGTTTTCCTCTACTGGATTTTTTATATGAAATTTCTGTTTTTATCTTCTATAATTGTTATTGATTTTAAGGAAACCTGATTTTAATCCACATCCTACTATATTTTTGTTTCTTTTTAAAATAAGCTTACATATCCATAGATAAAGATTGTACTGCTTTTGGTAACTTTGTGATATTTTAAAGGAATATTTTTTATCCAGATGAATTACATTGCTCCTTTTAAAACAATTTCTCCTCTTTTAATTAATGTAACTAAATCCAAAACCAAGCAAAACGAAATGGATATCATTCTTACGCTTTTTTGTATCAAGTATGTTGCTTCTGGTTACTTAAAGCATTCAAAATTTTGATTGTTATACTAGAATTAGGTTTTATTCGGTACAGTAACACGACAACATTATCAATCTCTCATAAATAGCTACTCTTCTTCACCAAAGAATTCTTTACTATCCTTATCAACATTTAATTCATCATCTTCACTATATTTATACTCTCCATCTTTTGATAAAGAAAATCCTTGAGTAGAATAGATTTTCATGTTATCAGCTCTAAATATTCTTCCATAATAAAACCCTATTTCAAAGAAAACGTGGATTAGGAACATCCTTGAACATTAAGACAGGACTTGACAAAAGATTTCAAAGAGATTACCTGGATTTACATAGTCTTCCTCTCCAACTTTCCCAAACATGGATCCTCCAGACTTCTTCTTCTCACCAAAAATTATATAAACAGCTGATCCGAATATCGTCCAGCCAGTCAAAATGTAAGCATACGTGAAAAATGAAGTATAAAATTGAGCTTTTTGCACAGGTATAGGTGCCATAACTTTGCGAACTTGTCGCCGGATCCAGAAGTAGAACATTTTGCTGAAAAAACAGTGAAAAAAATTCACGGATTTTAGGAGGAAATTCTTAGATATATCATGGAGTTACAGTGAAACTCTTGAATGGCCATTTGTAGGAATGAAAATAAACATACCTAACCTATGTAGTTGACCTTTATATGCAAGCTAACAAACAGAAGACACAACTACAAAATTTTCATAAAATTCATGAAAACGTTCGTTATTATTATGAGAAGGTGATTCTTTTCACACCATGCAATCTCTTCACAGTGAAGTGTTTCGTATTATTTGAAGCAGACGAAATATTTCCCCATACATTGCTGCTCCTAATGTTTTCATACTCACGGTCTGTTGGATATATGCGTACAGAGCACAGAGATACTAAGATCAATTTTTCAATTTTTCGGGTAAATTTTCTATAAAATCGACGATGCGTGCGTATTTAGTAGTTCTCATTATTATTTTTTAAATATTAGCGCGGTCCTTTATCATCTAGCGATTGATTCATCGGTGAAGGACTGCGTTCGAAAACACTGGCAAGTGCGCGGGGAGTCGAGGTCGCTCTAAGCGTATGTGTTATTCATTCTGTCCTTGTTGCCCCGCTCTCATTGCTGCAAGTGAGAGTGGGACAGTTGAGAATGGAAGGTGTTTTCAAACGCGGACTCATCTTCCGTCCTTCGTCGCGTTGCTGATCGCGTTGCTTTGTTGGGTCTGCTGTGAACTGCTTGCTGCAGACTGATATCGGTACTGGTAATATCCAACCAATGAGGGGATCAGTACGCGATTAATATCTCCATATTAGGTAAGGATCAAAATACAGGCCTCTGGAAGCTCTATACCTTCCAAAGGAAACTTGTAGAGCCCAAAATACAGTGGCTGTGACACTGACAGGTGTCCCCTACCCTACGGTGCGTATCAAAACATGGCTCCTGACAGACAAAGAGGTTAGTGCAGTAGAAACAACTGTCATGACCATATGAGTTGCTGCATGGAAGTAAGGCAGCTGCTTTAAATCGCGACAATTTCCATAATCTATTTGTCCTTTTGTCATTGCTATGAAGCTTATATCTGTGAGCTATGCCTCACCTCACCTTACAAGTTTTATTGGACCACTCAGAACAAAAAAAATATTGCCTGACTAAACAGAATATTTTAACCATCTGAATATTTAGTGTAATTTATATCATTCCCTTCTGATCAACCCTGTGATTTTCCCCAATCCATGCATGTAAGCCACACTCTCCTTGTCCTTGCTATGTCTGTTCAAGGCCATACATCTATGTTTGTATTATTTGCAGAGTGCTTCCCTGATGTCAGTCCTATCTAAAAAATATTCCCTCACCCTTTCACAGTTCCCTAAGAGGGTGTGAGGAGACAGCCTACATCAACGAACTACTGGTTGTGACTCTTGTAATGGACAATATGTTCCTACCATATCAGCAACCAAATGGGGTACCCCAAGAATCGAAGCTTGCCACTTACATGGTATGATTTTGAACATTGCGACAAATGTATTAAAACATTTTCAAGTTTTTCCATTATTTTTCTTGAAAATCCAATTTTGCTTGTTTTACAGAAAAGATCCTCCCCATCTGTTAATTCTCTGTCCAATAATTTGAATACTTTGAGTTTAGACCATACAGCCCAATTTCAAAAGGTTGGGATCTGAAACCTTACATTAATAAATCACCTGAGTTCAGAAACAGAAGACCTTGAATGATAATCACCTCTTCTTTTATAACAGGTTCTTGCTCAATCAACAGAGTTTGTGCCAAGCAATTTGGCAAACAACTCTAGTTCCAATTCCAGTCCAAATTTTCACTTAGGAAATTCTTATGCGTCTCCGGTACGTAGTCCAGCCAATGCACAAACCTTAGCAGGATCACCATTGAGTCATGCTGCATCACAATCCCCTCCCCCTAAAATTTTGCATCCAACACCAGTTCAGCCAGCAGCTTCCACTTACCAAGTATTTTTGTGAATCATTTTTCTCAATTTATTGTGTATTTGATGCTCTTGGTACTAACTCAGTTTCATTTTTATTGAAAGGAAAATGTCGGTGGAACCACTTATTTTTATCCTACTTCACTTGCATCAAGTGGAAGCACTGCTGATGCTGGACAAGTCAGTGCTTCTCCTCTTCCTGATACAGCTAATGCTGTATCATCCCCCAATTACTATATGTATCCTGGAACACCAAGTCATTTAACTCCTATTTCAACATCTCCTGTATCTTCTCCTGGTCCTGGGAAGAAACTTCCTGCAGCTGCATCAAGTAGCTTTTATGTTGCTGATAAATTGCGTCAAGAAATTGCGCTCCGGAACACACTTGTAATGGCTGTCGCTGAAGCAGATCAAAATGCAGGTAAATGTGCCTCATACAAAGGAAATCGGTTTGAAAATCATTCCTACTATTGTTCTAAATGTCAACATTATTAATAAACCTACTTGCCTGTACAGATTTACCTGCTTTAGTTGACAATTATCATGAGCTGTGTCCATTAGAGCCAGCAACAAGTGGCACTCCCAAAGTGAACATCATGGGATATCAAACAACTTCCTATAAAGCCACTCACACTAAAACTGGAGTACGTTATTGCCTAAGAAGAATTCATGGTAAGGGTTTATGATTGTTAAAACAATAAAGTTTTTCTTGAACTATCAATTCAAGTTGGTTTCTTTTGCCTACAGGTTTCAGGCTGCCAAGCACAAAATGTATGACTGTTGTAGATGCGTGGAAACGTCTACAACACTCCAACATTGTACAGCTCAGAGAAGTTTTTACAACTAAAGCATTTAATGATCACTGTTAGTTACTGAAACTATGACTCTCACCACTTTGTCTTTATTAATTTTAAAATTAATTTCAACATTTTTCTTCCTTATTTCAGCAATGATATTTGTTTATGACTATCATCCTGGTTCTGAGACCCTTTTAGCAAAACATTTTTCCCCAACTGGTTCAGATGCACCCAATGGTTATTCTGATGCTTTTTCAAATGATCCGAACGCACCTCGCCCGTACAGCCATCAGAAAAACACAATGTTAAGAGCTCAACATAGTTCCCTTCTACCAGAAGCTGCTATATGGAACTTTATTATTCAAGTCACAGCTGCTCTCAGGGTAATTCATGCAGCAGGTTTAGCATGCCGTGCACTTGATCCTACAAAAATTATTCTTACTGCCCGCTCAAGACTGCGTTTAAGTTGTGCTGGTGTAATGGATGTGCTTACTTTTGATGCCAATGTCACAAATCCTCAAGCTCACATACCACATTATCAGGTATGACTATATACAACTTGAGATTAATCAAGAAAAATATTTTAAGTTTTTGCTTTGAATTCTCCTTTTTCTCATTCCCACAGCAAGAAGATTTGTGTGCCTTGGGAAAGCTAGTTTTAGCCTTGGCTTGTAAATCTCTCATATCTGTACAACCTGAAAATCTCAAGACATCCCTTGATTTGGTTGGCCGAACTTATTCAAGTGACTTACGGAACCTGATTGTGTTAGTGTTTGCCTGGTTTGCCTCTTATCTACTTTGATCTTACCATTTAAGGATTTTATTGAAGTTGTAAATTATCTGTGATTTTAGATACCTGCTGACAACTCAGCAAAGGCGTTCACTCACAGATCTCATGCCAATGATTGGAGCCAGATTTTACACCCAGTTAGATACATTGCAAATCAGAGGAGATGTGCTTGAAAATGAATTGGCAAAGGAAATGGAGAACGGACGTCTTTGCAGACTAATGGTGAAGTTGGGCACAATTAATGAGAGACCTGAGTTAAATCTGGATCCTTCATGGGCAGAAACTGGTGATCGTTACATGTTGAAGCTATTCAGAGACTATGTGTTTCATCAAGTAAGTGAAGATGGAAGACCCTGGTTGGATATGGCACATATTGTCACCTGCTTAAATAAACTAGATGCTGGTGTCAATGAAAAGGTCTGTATTTTTATTTTAACCTGTTTTGCAATCAAATCACTCAAATCATGTAAATGAAAATATCCTTGTTTTTCTTTTATTCTAGATCTGCTTGATGTCCCATGATGAGCAGAGTGTTCTGGTGGTTAGTTATGCAGAGCTCAAACAGTGTCTGGAAACATCTTTTGAGGAAGTTTTCAGTGCTTCAGTGAAGGCAGACTCTCGCTCATAACATTTCATAACTAAGTCAGAATTGAGAATGACATTCAGTATTTTAGACACTTATCACAATCCGTTTGTAGCCCAGAATGTGGCAGGGGATCTGTGCAGCTCCGCCCAAAGACATAGTACAAAATCTGAGATATTTATTGAATCCTATCTCAAAAGCTGAGATCATAAATAAGTGAATTTCTCTTAATACCAATTATTTGCTGTTAAGAGGCAGATCCGTTTCTGTCAGCACAGCAGTTACCACAGTTAGATTTGTCTCTATTAAATTTACGTTCTTGAGTCTGGATTGACATGACATTATTTATTTTGTAACCAGTGGTGCAATAATGTTTGTGAATAAGAGAAGTTGTGATGGTGTAGGGGTTTGATAGCAGTCTTTTGCTGCTGAATTCCTATTGAAATATTTCAGAGCTGTGTTATGATTGTTGCAGACATTTGTTTTTGTTGAACATGAATTATTTTTGACAGGGCACTATCTTTAAAAGAACTAGTCTGTTGTAAAGTGTCCTTTGAGTCCTGTATTTTGGATTTAAATGGCTTTTTGTGTCCTCCCATTTTTGAAATTGCGCCACTGTATGTTATCCAGAGGTAAGAGCAATCTTGTTTACCTGCCATTTTCACCTTTTCTTTCTGGAAATATTGGCTGTTGAGTCATGAAGCCCATTTATACATTCTTATTGGATCTCGACAAAGCGCTGTCCTCAGCAATAAGTATATCTTTTTGTACGCTGGTTTTTGATGTGCATTTACATTTTATTTTGGTACTATAGAGTTGCAAGGAATCATCCTTGACTGAATCTGCATATGAAAGGCCTTTCTACAATATTTTGCTTTTTATTACTGTTGTAGGGATTTTGATTCTAAATATCAATTTTGTAAGTTATTTTTTATTCCATGGCTGTTCGTATTGGTGTCTGTGTCATGACAGCAAGACTTTTTTTTCTCTCTTTTTAATCTGTGAATCAGATCTGTCAAGGTACAAAGATGTTTTTAAGAATAAAGTTTATAAAAGTTTTAATATTGAATTTAGGGTCATGTTTCCACATGCCATAATGTTAAAACATGACTAAATTATTGGGAATTCCACATTATTTTTGTTGCAACAAACTTCTGCTTGTGAAAATTAAATTTTAATTTTGTTTGGTTATGATGAAATAAAATTATGTTTGCAGTAGCAATCAAAACTATTATTTTGCAAAGAATTTTTCATACAAGTAACAAATAAATAATTCAGTTAATAGTGGATGTAAAACCTCAGGTGTTACTGTAGATGATAGTGTATATAGGGAATAATGAACTTTGTTTGCACACTTCTTGTGATTTTGTGCTCATCAGACTCATGCAGGCTTAGGTTGCAGCACCTAGTTGGAGGTGAAAACTGTGGAATCTCTGAGTAAAGTCCAATACATTTCTTATGATTTGTCAGATGCACAGTACTTAACAATGTTTGTAACAGAAATTATGATTGCTTTTGTGTGATGTGATATTTGAACTCTTAGTCATATAAGGGTTCGTCATGAAATAGTCAGTCCGTCGTTGTCCATGCAGATTATATGAATTACCTAATTGCATGTTGGGGCTGGTAAGGTCTTGAGATGTTGCTCCCTTGCAAGGAATTGAGGAATTGTGCTGTTGAGATCTAGAATGGTTTTCACTGCGACCTTATTGTGATATCTGTTTGAGAAAAATACCTGTCAATTAAGTGAGCTATTTTTAATAAAGAAAATGGAAAGTCCTTTGGAAAATAAGAAGCATGCGTATTGATTTGCATCAGCCCTATCAGTCTTTGCGCTGGGCCTCTCCGGATCCACCGCTGGAGGGAAGATCCAGGGTAGGGTGGTGAAAAACTGCTCAAAACTGGAACGCTAATTGGCACTTTCTATATTAAAACGGGGAACTTTTACCTTCGGGTAGTGACAGCCACTGGGGGTTGGCTACTAACAAAATCAAAAGTACCGGGCGTCAGCAGCACCAGCATCCTGCCATACCGGTGGAGGTAAATGTGGGCTGGTCAGCCGCCGTGCCGTGGTGCAGCGCAGCTATCTTTGGCCTAGAGGGCAGCGTGCCGTCCGCCGGCCAGCCTGCGTAGCCTGCGGGGGGCCGGCCCGACGGGGGAGTCGCGCTGTCGCCGTCGCGCATTCGCGCAGTTGGGTCGGACCTGAGTCGGACGTCGGACTAGCGAACAGACTCGGGCAGCCGCCCCTAGAAGCGATGCGCTTCAATGCGCGTTGAAATGCGATTGCAAGCGGAACCATAACAAAGCAGAAGCCTCCAGTCGAAAAAATATCTCAAACGCCCTTATTTTGATGTTACTTTTTATGAAACTTGTGTGGTAGGGTACTATTTTTTTCACACCGAAGACGATAGGACTACTCATTTTAACCGAAACGCACGAGAAATTTTGCATGTTATGGTTCCCGCTACGCGCTGCCACCGCGCCGCTACCGCACCATCGAATGGGGTAAGGTGCTCAATGAACACAAGAACACAGTGCGTTTGGCATTCGACGCCCCTTCTGGCTGGGTCCCGCCCGCTCCGTTGGGCGGCGCGGAGCGCAGAGCCCGGCCGGTCAAGCTGACGTCGCAGAGCCGGGCAGACGCACGACTGTGCAGAACCATACTATATCTGTGTGTTCAGAACAGGACAGGACCGGTAGAGGGGCGAGCGAGAGGGAGAGAGGGGGACAGCGCGGGGCAGCGCCGCCGTCGCTACACCGCGCGGTGCGGCGGGCGCAACGCCAGCCCGGCACAGGCAGGCCAGACCGCCGCAGGAGCGCAGGACAGGACAGAGCCCCAGTACTCGTCCGGCAGGCGCTGCAGACAGGCAGGCTCTCAGCAGCGCTACCCCGCGGCGCCTGGCGTCGCGAACCCCCCCGGCGTCCCGACGCTCGTCACCGGCGACTCGTTCGTGCTGCCCGCGACGCCGCGACTGCCGGCGCACCGCACGCCCGTGACACGACGCGCGGTCACCTGGTGCAGGCCATCCGGGCCGCCGTGCTTCTCCGGTCAGCTGTTGTGGGATGTGAGTTGTTGGCGCTGTCGCCGCTCCCTCTCTCTCTCGTCCCTGCAAGAGGATGACAGCACCGCCGCCGCCCAGCCCGCCGCAACCCCAGCCGACGTGACGCCGCCGTGCCGCGAAGTGACGTGAAGTGACGTGACGTGTGACGTGACACGTGACGATGCGGCTGTGATCAGACGCGTTGTGACAGACGTCCCGCGCAGACGACGCGACGCTGCCCGCGACGCGAGTGAAGTGTGACGAGTGCACGCCGACGCGAGCGCTTCAGCGCTTTTTAGCGAGAGCGAGTGAGAGCGAGAGTGCGCGTGTTATTGTCACCATGGTCGTGCCGCTCGGCGCCCTGAGGATGCTGGGCGCGCTGCTGGTGCTGGTGCTCGCGGGCGCGGGCCGCTGCTGCGCGCTGCCCTCCGACAAGGGCCACGCCGTGGCCGTGGACGCCGAGAGCTGCGCGTCCGTCCAGGAGTACTTCATCAGGAGGAACCTGTCCACGCCCATTCCGGATCAGCCGCAAAGTGGTGAGTACTCCACAGCCAGAATGACGATGATGATGATGATGTTGACGACCGGAGCGACGGCGACGGAACGTCGATCCCGGCTGAACGGTGAGGGTGCGGGGCGGGGGGTTCAGTTGGTATCCCATTTCGCACGGGGTCGCCGGCGGAAGTGGACTTCATTGAGCGGAACCGCGCCGCCGCCGCGGCAGCGACACAGGACGGTGCGCACGCACGCGCACGCACGCTCGCGAGCGCACAACACCGCACCGCACCTGCTGCTTTACTTTTACGAGTCTTTCGCAGCGATAAGCATTTGGTTCCGGCCGTGTGGCTTGTGCGGCCACGGTGCGTACTTACGAGCGCGGGAGGCCGGCCGGGGGGCGAGGGGTGAGGCTAAGGACGGCGTAGTTGCGCCCCCGCCCCGCAACGACGCCGCCAGAACCGCGAGTGAAAATCCCGCTGGGCGAGGGAGGCGCGGGCGGCCCCCGCCCGGCGCCTGCCAGACAGAGTGGTGCCGGTGCCAGTGGCGGCGACGGCGCTGCCGGCGGACGGGCGGACGCTGCGGCTGGCGCTCTGTCAGAGAGAGCGAGAGAGAGAGGGTTTTGGCGGCGGCGGGAGCACCGGGGGGTGGTACACCAGGTGGAGGAGGGAGGTGACAGCCCGCCGCAAGGAGCCGCGGGGGATGCGGGGAGCGTGACGTCCTCGAGGTCCGAGGCTCCCCGATCAGCGGGCTGTCATGGCGCGTCACATGTCGGCCCAGGGCGGCGGGTAGAGGGGGTCGGGGGTGAAATCTCACGCCCCACGCCACGCCCCGTCTCTCTCTATCCCCCCCCCTCACCGCTACCACTCCCCCTCTTCCCTTGGAGACAACAAGGCCGCTCCGTGGGGTGTTGCGGTATGCAGCCCCCGGCCTCGCCCCCGTCTCCTCGCATGCCATAATCGACAAGTACGTACCATGTCCGGCCCCACCGCACCCCCGGCGGGTGGCGGCGGGTCCCCCCGGTGCGGTGCAGGTCCGGACGTGTCTGATCACGGTGTTGGAGGG